TCAGGTACCCACTGACACAATTATTGGCACCATGTATGACTACCACTAGAATGACAGTTCAAACCCAAAGAGGGCAAGGGACCTCACCTTTCTTCTTCCGGCAGATACTGGATCCTCAGCATGAACAACAGTGCCCAGGCTTTAGTAAGTGCCCAGAAATGTATTGATTCATAACACTAAATGCATATGGAGCTTGCCATATGCTAAGCACTGCACTAAAACCTTTGACTGTGTGGATCACAACAAACTGTGGAAAATTCTTCAAGAGAAGGGAATATCAGACCACCTTACTTGCCTCCTGAGAAGCCTGTATGCAGGTCAAGAAGCAACAGTTAGAACCAGACATGGAACAACTGAATGGCTTCAAATTGGGAAAGGAGTACAATAAGGCTTATTTAACTCATATGCAGCATGTGCTAAGTCACTTTAGTCATGTCTAACTCTTTGTGACCCCATGGACTATAGCCCACCAAGCTTCTCTGTCCATGGGATTTTCCAGGCAAGAGTACTGGAGTGGGTTGCCATTTCCCCCTCCAGGACATCGTCTCAACCCAGGGATTGAACCAGCATCTCTTAGTTCTCCTGCATTGGCAGGCAGGTTCTTTACCACCAGTGCCACCTGGGAAGTCCTACCAGCAGCAGCGGCATACATCATGAGAAATGCCGGTCTGGATGAATCACAAGCTGGAATCAAGATTGCAGAAGTATCTACAACCTCAGATATACAGATGATATCACTCTAAAAGTGAAGGGCAACTANTGGCATCGCCAACTTGATGGACATGAGTTTGAGCAAGCTCCAGGAGATGGTGAAGGGCAGGGAAGCCTGGCGTGCTGCAGTCCATGGGGTCACAAAGAGTCAGACACGACTGAGCAACTGAACAATGAACAAATCACTTCACAACCTTAGCTCATTCAATCATCTCAACAGTCCTATGAGCTGAGTGAGTGAGTGAAAGTTGCTCAGTTGTGTCTGACTGCGACCCCATGGACCATACAGTCCATGGAATTCTTCAGGCCAGGATACTGGAGTGGGTAGTCTTTCTCTTCTCCAGGGGATCTTCCCAACCCAGGGATCAAACCCAGGTATCCCACATTGCAGGTGGATTTTTTACCAGCTGAGCCACAAGGAAAGCCCTCCTATGAGGTAGGTACTATTTAGTAGTCCCATTTTAAAGATGAGAAAAATAAGACACAAAGAGGTTAAGGCTATGCAACCAGTAAGTGGCAGTGCTGGGATCCACATGCAAACAGTCTGGCTCCTGAGGCCCTGACTGTAATTTTTTTGTTTCTAGGACAGGTAACTCAGATTGAGGTGAGGCTAGGGGAAAGTAGGGGCTGTGTGAAAAAGAAATCTAAATATCCATGTGTCAGTTTCACTGAGAGGCTTCCTTTCATCTTTCACGTATGTATCAGCAACAAACTGGATGATTCTGAGAAATACATTTCTTGTGATCTTCTTCTCAGAGGCATATATCCATAAGTATACTTTTCCCCTCTCATCATGTGTTTCTGCTGTGGATTCACAGGAGAAAGCCAGGAGGGTATGTTGGTAACATCGCTATCTGTTCTGATAATGCATGTGATGAATCAGAACATTGTTCTTTTTCACAAATGAAGCAGTAAGCAGCAGGAGTTGAGTTATAAGGGACAATATTCAGGGAATGTTTAGACACATGATTAAATGGCAATTTGGGGAGGAGTGCTAGAAAAAGGAGATCATAGACATCTAAAGAGATATGTGTGATGTTGTGATGTTGCTCATGAGACAGTGCCTGAGATGGAAGTTTACCTCTGGCTTCTGCTGTTTGGATTCTCACTTTCTCGATTTATGTTCCAGTTACTGCCTTGGTACTAGATAATCTCCTGTTTTTTTCATAAATTACAATTGTGGTGGAAGGCTAAGAAATCAAAAGTAATCCGTTATCAGAAGGTCTAGATACAATTGGGTCTGTGGAACCTGATCCAATTTGAGGCCTCACTGTGGAACTTGCTTATCCCAGACAATGAAAAGAAAGCCTGGAATAAGTGGACAGGCATTCTGTTTTATGATTTGAGAAGTCACAACAGTAGATCAATTAAATAGGTGTTGCCTCAACACTTAAACCAGGTTGACTCACATCACTGCCTAAAATAATATTGTCCAAAATAATAATAATGAAGTGCTTTGTACAGTTCTGGACCCTCAATAAATTACGCTACTGCTGATCATTACAATGGCGTTACTAGATTCCTGACACCCGTTCTTTCCGGGCTGGAATTCAGAAGTGCCTCTTTGCTAGCAGGCTGTTGTATTCACACACACCTTAGCCATGCTCTGTCAAACATTTCAGTTTGCATTTCAAAGGAGATTAGAGACAGATTTTTTTAAAATTTCACACTTTGATTTCTCAGCTGAGTTTCCAAGAACTGACTCACTAGTGCTGCTGTAGAGAGAGTAATGCAACTCAAATCTAGGTGTGCTCCCCCTCCTACCCCATGGCCATCATGGGCCCCCTTGACTGTGTAGAGGTGAAGTTCTTGAGACCTGTCATTCCTTGCAACCAGAGCTGGTTTGCTGGGTGTGTGGCCTGCACTGTCACCCAACGTGCATGCTCAGAAGAGCCCCTCCTGTGGTTCAGGGCTCTGCTCTGTCATTCCTTGCAACCAGGGCTGGTTTGCTGGGTGTGTGGCCTGCACTGTCACCCAAAGTGCACACTCAGAAGAGCCCCTCATGTGGTTCAGGGCTCTGCTCCCATCATTTTGACATTCTCAGTAACTTATGGAAAAGTAGCCTTTCAAATTATGTAGCCGGTCTCACCTGGAATATCCTGCCTGTCTGATCTGTAGGAACAATTTTGTAAATTTGGATTTTTAAGAAAAAATTTGGATCAAGTATTTTATAGTTCTGAAAAAAATCTACTATAAACGGTTTCATCGTCTTTTTGTGAGAACAGTCTTCTGAAATCTGTCTGATTAGGGTCAGAAGTAAAATGAAACTTCTGAGGAGTTACCAAAATCTGCTTGGTAACTGGATGTGGAGACTGCATGGCCTGTTACAGAGAATACGGCACCGTAATGAGCATATCCTGCTGCTTCCATCAGGCCCTCTGGCCAGCTTGGGGAGTTTGCCCAAATGGGGCCCAACATCACTGGCAGGTAGAAAGATGAGGCTCAGTATGCTCACCCCATCAGAAAGGTCATGAGCCCTGGGAAACCACGATGGCCTTCTCCAGGGACCGCTTGCTGTCTCTCCTCCTTGGCTTGGCAAGCGATGAGATGGCATGAAGCCCAGTCGACCTTAATTCAGATGAATGTTGTTTCATGTTTATTTTTAAATGCATAATTCTGATTTTTTACTAAGATATGCTTGTAGTTGGACCACATTCAGGAATATAGAATAACTTAAATTAGTCTTAAAAAGCTTTATGATTTTTCTTTCCTCAAATAGAGGTCCTTCTGGGATTAGCTTTAATGAATAGATGAGAATAATGCATAATTAGCACATCAGTTGTTTAACACATGCAGGAGAATAGCCTTCTTAAGCACTTGAAGAAATGTATGTATATAAAAACTCTCTGGGCTGTGTTTACGGTTTTAATGAGTTCAATAAAACTCTTTTTTGTGTATGTGTGTGGATTCTCCAAAGGTCAGTTTTTATCTAGCTATGTCTGTATTTTTACAAATGGTGAAGTTGAAAATTCCAAAAAGAATACTTTTTTATATAACAAATAAAGCCACTCAGTCAGAACAGTTTATAATCCCCATTCTAGTCTGCTTTGCCTTTTGTAGTTCAAGATGGTTTCTTTAAGATGGTACCTTTTTTTTTTTTTTTTAATTTAGATATGCTGGGTCTTAATTGTGATATGTGGGATCTTTAGTTGCTGCATGAGAACTCTGAGTTGTGACCTGAGAGAGCTAGTTCCCTGACCAGGAATCGAACCTAGGACCCCCAGCATTGGGAGGGCAGAGTTGAAGCCACAGGACCACGAGGGAAGTCCCAAGATGGGACCTACTTTTTGTCATTTGATTCTGGTCTCACAAGTGAAAACACAAATGCCTTGATTGTTTGATGTACATCAAGTTATAAAAGAAACCGAAGATGCTCTGGATCCCTCGGCCAGCCCACCCTCCTCTCTCTGCCACCAGTCCACTCCTACCCTGTGGCAGAGTCCCGGCCAGGCCTTGCCTCACACCCACTCCTCTCCCAGACCTCTGTCTCCATGACTGACAGTGACCTAGGAGTCATCCTTGACACTCTGACACTCTGTCCCCTTCTGCCTCTTGCTCACATTCAGTCTGCTCCCAAGTCCTACAGATTTTGCTGACAAACACCACTCAGACGCATCCACCTCCCTCCAGCTCTGCGGGCTCTATCCTACTGCACAGGGCAGGACAGCCCCTTCCTCAGACTTCCTGGGGCCATCCTGCCTCCTGAGCCAGCCTCCACGCACCTGCCTGGGCAGTCCCCCAAGACATAAACCTGATCACGTCACTTGCCAACTTAAAGCCCTTCAGTGCCTCTTCACTGCTGTTAAGAAAAAGACCAAAAACATGGAGAGGGGCTTTGAGGTCCTATGGGTCCAGCTCTGCCTTCCCCTCTCTTTCGCCCCCTCAGGCCCTGTCACCCAGGCTTTCCCATCTCCTGTGAGCCCAGCAGGCTCCCTTCTCCCTAGCAGGTCTTTCCCTTCGCTGTCCTTCTTTGGGGGGTACTCTTCCCCACAAAAACTCCCCTCTCCACTGTTCAGATCTTGACATAAAATACATATTCTTTCTTTGGGGAAATCTTTCTCTAGTTCCGAGACTGGGTCAAGTGCTCACCTATATTTACTCACAAGCTTCCTTGCACTTTCAAGAATTTATAATCAGGTGTTTACCTGTGTACTAGTTAGATTAACAACAGCATCTCCTACCAGATGGCGAGTTTGCATGGTTCTGCTCTCCAGTGTAGCTCAAGCTCCAGCCCATGCCCCTTATGCACTGGAGGCACCCCATCCCCAACCCCTATGTCCCCCACTTACTGCGCTCATGAGCGAATCCAGGACGCTGACGGCGAATGCTGTCCCACATGCAAACGGCTGCGTGAGGTACAGTTCTGTGTCAGGGTCATCGTCATCGTCTTGGTCCAAAAACTGAACATTAGTATCGTTCACTAGGAAGAGCATGAAGTAGGAATTAGCTTGAAAAACTACATGTGGGCAGTAAAGTCAGAGAGAGAACAGGCTACAGGTTTAGAAACACTGAGGTCGCTGAAAAGGAAAGAAAAGCATTGGAGAAGCTGTCGATGGAGCTCGGGGTAGGGGTCAGTGGGACTCAATGGACAGCTCTGAGGTGCTGATGCAAGGTTCCCAGACCTGGAGAGCAGAGACATCAAGTGGACATGCTCCACGGCAAGCTGGTGGAGCCAGGGTGCACTGGCGTTGGTCAATTCTTTGGTATAGCTTTAGGATCATGACGAAAAACACGTTGAAGTGTTTTTTGGTAGCCAAGTCCTTTGAGACATGGACATCTTTCAAGGATGAGGAGCCATGAGGAGCCATGCTGGGATGGGAAGTTTAGCCACAAGGAAAAGTAAGCCATCTAGGTTAGGAGCATAGCAAAGGCAACGAGCAAGGAATCCACCCTCAGGCACCACTATGCCTCAGGCGTGGATCTGGGCAGGGCCTGGTGTCCAGCCCTGAATCCAGGTCCACATCCAACAGATGCTGTTCAGTATAAAGGCGACTCCAGGTGGGAGGTACCCTGGCTGTCTCGGGCTGTGGCTGAGATTTGCTCTGCATCCCAAGGCGCATAGGGACGCCCACGTTCTCCCTTTCCCCTTCTAAACAGCTCAATCTTTTACGTGCTTCAGCTCAAGCAGACACAGCATTTGATGCTGTATTTCATTTCCATCTGAGGATTCCTCAAGAACTGCTCTGGCATGCACGTGCAGACTGATTGGTTGTGTCACCGAGATGTCTTTAACTTATTAAAAATTAAATGACAAATTAATTTCCATTCCCATCTTGGCTTCAGAAATGATCAGTTTTGCAGAGCAAGTAATGGGGAGGGGGAGGGTGTGAGATGGGGGAGGAGATGAGCACTCGTGATTTCTGGAATAATTATCATGCTTTTAGGAAAAGAATAGATGAGGTTTCCTTTTTCTGAATCCTTTCTAAAGCTAATTCTCTTTTCTAGAGTTATTGTTTTAATTTTTTTTTTTCCAAAAGGAACTTCTGAGAGAACTTTTCTTTTTTTTTAAACTTTTGTTTGTTTATCATATGAAGCAGAATAAATGATAATAGGATAAAAGGCTGGGCATGGGATTATTTTTAAATGACACCATCCTGTTTCCCTGGAGAAAGATCCTAATGGGGAAAAATTTTTGCTCTCTGTTCTTCCAAAGTTTATCATGTCTGGCTCCCCATTGTCTTAGCAGCACTTAAGTTACAGGCTTGTGAAAATGCAAAATCCAGGATCTAGCAAGTGAACTCTGAATTCAGCCTTTGTCACTAATTCTCTTGAGCAAAGCATTTTATCATTCTGCACCTTAGTTTCTTAGTTTCTGGGGGGACTATTAGCAACTTTCCTGATAGGCTGTTAGGAGGTTCCTATGAGATTCTCCTTGGTGAGCCCAGTTCAGCATTTTGATAAAGAGTGGCCTTTCTTGTGATCTCATGAAATTATGAAAATTCCCAGCCTCCCTCCGCCCCTCTCAGAAGACACAAGGAAGGCCTTGCTCAAGGATCCTACCAGAGTCATATGGAAGCATTTCCTTTCCTCCTGCCATTTAGCCAGAAGTATGTTGTGGGTCACAGTTTAGAAGACTAAACTGCTTTGTGAATGGGAAAATATGAACTTGGAACAAGATGCAGAGGGATGCGGTTTTAATTATTAGAGCTGAGGAGGGCATGTGCATGGACCCTCCTTAAAGGATCTGTTGGTTACCTCTTTTCAAGATGATGGGGAGGGTTTGGTTCTAGACCTGACAGACGACTGGAGATTGTCAGCTAGTTAGGGATTCAAATCTTGGGGAAAAAACTCCAGGGCACAAGCCCAGGTTCAATATCCCAGGCACCATTCTGGGTTACCTAGCCAGTGTTACCTGAAACCTATTTCACAGAACAATAATTATGTGGGTGCTAAGAGATGAAAACAATCACCCCCAAGAGTTGGTAATCAAATACAACTGAGAAATGGATTAAAGAGCTTCGAACAGATTTCCTTCATGTGGACCTTCTAGAACCCTTTGACCTGCTAACATCAATTGGGACTCTTCAAGTACACAAAGACTGGGATACAATACCCAGTTTAACGAGTTTGTTTGACGTTGGCACCTTTTGTGTTTTGGAACCTGGCCTGGTGCAATGCAAAGACATCTCAGAATAAGTAGGTAGACAGTAAATATTTGTGGGGATAAGGAAGGTGAGGTGGTCAGAGGATGATGGTCTAACTGCCAAAAGTGGTAAGCCCAGTAGAAAAACTGGTCTTAAGGCAGAGGGTGAAGGTGATGTGAACACATGGAAGGTTCTCTGAGTTCATAAAAGAAATCTGGTAAGGGACAAAGCCTTTAGGGTACTCAATTATGCTAACTGAATACTTGAATTGTTGGACAGATTGGGGGTATCAAACCTTTTCTTTTCTACTAGTCGCAAATCAAGATATTCCAGTTATTTGGCAGCACATGAATTTCAAACAGACAAATTCCTGGCAATGATGATTTTGAAACACTGCTGAATTTTTCTGAGACAGAGATGTCTGCATGAATTTTCCACCCAGAGGTCTGGGCCACACAAGCTCCCTGGGTCTCTTACCTAAGGTTCTGAGAAGAGCAACCCACCCCTAGGCTTTTAACCAACTTCTCTAAACATGAAAAAGACACCTGTCCTACTGTTAGAAACATAAAATAGTGTGCTGCTCCTTGACCTGAGTGAATTTGTCCTGAAAAATAGCTCCATCGACAATAATACAGTGCTGAATGGTGGACAATTTATTCCTTTGTTTCCAGACACTTGGCAAGCAAGATTACTGTGTTAAAAGCCTGCTCTCTTATTTTGAAATATATTTTGGGGCCAAGAAAATGGCATGTGAGTTTCATTTGTGAGCCATTTGAAGGCAGGTGCTCCCTACCTCTCAATTCACCCTCCACTGAACAGCACTTGCTGTCTTTATCTAGAAGATCAATCCCTAGTTCTGAGACCTGCTGCTGATGGGTGCTTTTCATTGAGTTATTAACCAAGTCATAGGGAATTGTGGAAAAGTTTGACAAATGCCGTCATGACCAGAGCCCTTCATCTTCTAGATGAGTCCTCTCTGGATCTCCCAGAGAGGACTCTAGGCCAGTGGGGTGGGGGTCAGAGTGCAGGGCTGGGCCTTGGTGACTGCTAACCTCGTCCTCTGCATCCTTTCTTAAGACCTGGCTTTAGTAAGAAAGGGTCCCCTAGGAGCTCGCTGCTTTTATGGCTTCAGAAACCAGAGCTTCTGAGAAAGGGCCAAGTAGGGGGAAAAAAAAAGGCAAATAAAGTCAGAATAAAGGAAAATAAACAGCTGGAGGGAAGGCACCATCTTAGATTTCTTATCTTAAAATTTTTATATTTCTCCTTTGACTTCCTCTGAGAGTTGCGAAGACATGTCAGTCAAACTGACAGTGTGTTGGAAGAGGAAAAGAAGGGAGAAGGTGGGAGGAGGAGCAGGGGGACACATAGGGGAAAAAAAAAAAAGCCCAAGCTAAAGGAAATGAATTAGAGCAAAGATGCTTTGGAAACAACTGCCAGGTCAGATGGGTGTGATCAAAGGTTTACTGATGCTGTGTGGGGAAAAAAATCATTAAGAAAGGCCAGAACAAGACAGTCGATTCCAACCAGAGCCACAAATAAAACACATTCAAAGCAGTGCCATGGGGTAGCCGTTCTGCTACAGCCGGTGAAATAAAAAACAAGCTGGTGATAGTCGGAAACACCAACCACAAACAAAAGGAGATACTGATGTGAAAGAAAACAGTGCTTCTTACCCAGTTCGGTTATCATTAGAATGTGCGTCCCACTGTTTTTTTCCTGATTGACTGATACCAAAGGCAACTTGCCAGGTTTAGCTAATTGGATACAGCATTTAGGGTTGGGGAAAGGGAGTGGAGGAAAGTACAGAAAAAGAAAAGAGTGAGGGAATAACAGAGAAAGCATTCTGAAGTAAAGGGACCCAGGACCGTAGATAGTTAAGTGTTTATCTTCGGGGGAAGAGACCTTGTATCAGTTTTGCAAATTCACAAATAATAGCAGGAAATGCCACGGCCAGGTTAAAAGCTGGATCCCATCGGTCAATGATCATGGCTCTCAAAACCCTGTCATTTTTTTTTTTGGACCAGGGTGACAGTCACTGAAAATGCCTTTTAGCTGAAGAGTTTAACTAGAATATATTAAATGTAAATTTATCACACATCAGGCCAGTGTTTCTATGCAGTTCTCAAAATGGGATTGGCTTAGACCTGAGGCTTTGTCCCGCAGGGGAGGGAACTCCCACAGATGCTTTCAATGAGAATCACTGGGCAAAAACCCTTGGACTATACCTATCCTCCCTTCCTCCCCATTCCGGAATGTATGCCTCAGTCTCCAACCCATCACCTCATGCCCCTTTGCAAACAGTGACCAGCACGCAGGAAACTGTCTATTCATCTCAGAGGAAAGATAGATCAGTTTTCCTTTGGGTCATCTGCCATAGTTCTACCCATACTCTTCTCCAGTCTTCCCCTACTCCCCCCAGAAAATACACCATTAGAGCCTACCACAGTGACAGAGCTAAGAGACAGGCCAGCCTCCTCATATCCTGCATGGTTGGAAGAGAGGACCAGAAAAATCCACCCAAAGCTGACGTTCACTCCTACCTAGTTCAGTGATGATGGGGATGTTGACACCAGTCGTGATGGAGGGCTGGCGTAACATCCCATGTACCGGGCTGTTATCTGGGGAGGATCGGTCCATTCCTGGAGGTGTGAACCCTAGTGGGAAGAAAAGAGAGGAAAGGAAAAAATAAAAAATGTGCAGAACTTGGAAATAGTGAGAGTACAGTGTATATACACAGTAAAAAAAAAAAAAAAAAAGTATTATTTATAGGTTAAAAATTAACACTCCAAGAATAAACTCTGATGAGTTGTTTTCAAAAGAACAAAGTATGAGACCATTATAAATAATTCTAACCCACACTGACAGATCCCTAAAAACCAGTCTCTACACCTGTTATTGATCTTGCTCACAGATTTCTGTTCCCTCCACACAGATTGCACCTCTGTACTTCTGAGAAGTTAGACATGACCATGTGACACAGGAAATGCTCTGGCCCATGAAAAACAAGCAGAACAATGCATATCATCACTTCTGGTACAAGTATTTGACTTGCCATCCTTCTCCCCAGGCTGTGGCAACAGTGAGAATTGTGGGTTACCATGGAGATGAAGGCTGGGCAGCAACCCTGGAAAATAACCCAGACACACAAAGCATTCTGAGTGAAAAATCAATCTGTTGCTTTAAGCCACCAAGATTTGTTTTGTTGATGTTTGTGCTGTGGTTGTTACCAAAGCATATCTTAACCTATCCTGACTGTTATCTTAAACCAATTGATTACTTCTTCTCTTGCCAGTAAGTGACTTAAACCTGGGTTCTGGCCAAGAGAAAGTGGGAGGAAATCTGCCTGGGGCCTTTAGGAAGTCTTTCCTTGCCCTTAAAAAGAATCACATGAGAAGAGATTCTCTTTTATCCACTGGGCATTGCTTCTGTGCCTGTAGTGAGGGGAACTGTAGCAGCCACCTTGTAACTCGGGTGGGAACTAGCCAAGGACAAGCCAGCTTAATGAGCTGGCTGAAGCCAGTGATAAAAAGTTTGAAGGACAGGAATAATTTTCCTTAGTGCCTGAATTAACCAGCCCTAGAACCAAAACCAACTGATCTCAGGATTTCTTTACTACATGAGATTTTATACACTTATAAATGAGATTATAATATAAAATGAATAATAAAGAGATTTCATATATATTATATACATAATAATGAGATTGCTGTTGTTGTTCAGTTGCTAAGTCATGTCTGACTGTTTGTGACCCCATGGACTGCAGCACACCAGGCTTCCCTGTCCTCCACTGTTTTCTGGAATTTGCTCAAAATTCATGTCCATTGAGTCAGTGATGCTATCTAACCATTTCATCCTCTGCTGCCCCCTTCTCCTTTTGCCTTCAATCTTTCCCAGCGTCAGGGGCTTTTCCAATGAGTCAACTCTTCACATCAGGTGGCCTAAGTACTGGAGCTTCAGCTTCAGCATCAATCCTGCCAAAGAATATTCAGGGATGATTTCCTTTAGGGTTGACTGGTTTGATCTCTAGTTGTCCAACAGACTCTCAAGAGTCTTCTTCAGCACTACAATTTGAAAGCATCAATTGTTTGGCACTCAGCCTTCTATATGCTCCAACATCTATACATGACTACTGAAAAAACTATAGCTTTGATTATACAGACCTTTGTCAGAAAAGTGATGTCTCTGTTTTTAATATGCTGTATAGGTTTGTCATAGCTTTCCTTCCAAGGAGCAAGTGTTTTTTAATCTCATGGCTACAGTCATCGTCCACAGTGATTTTGGATCCCAAGAAAATAAACTCTGTCACTGCTTCCACTTTTTCCTCTTCTATTTGCCATGAAGTAATGGGGACAGATGCTGTGATCTCAGTTTTTTAAAATGTTGAGTTAAACAATGATATTTTATGTGTGTATAGTTATGTACTTTGTATTATGTATTAAATATTTACGTATCTACACACATACACAGCTTCCTAGGTGGCACAAATGGTAAAGAATTCCCCTGCCAATGCAAGAGCTACAGGTTTGATTCCTGGTCAGGATGACCCCCTAGAGGAGGAAATGGCAACCTACTGCAGGATTCTTCCTGGGAGAATCCCATGGACAGAGGAGAACTGGCAGGGTACAGTCCACAGGGTTGCAGAGAGTCGGACATGACTGAGCATCTGAGCACACATACACAATATATGTGTATATATATATATTTCCCCCTTTTGTTTAAGCCATACTGAAGACTTTACTTGCAACTGAAATAGTCTTGATTGATGCATATGCTACCTATTTAGAGTGGACCCTTGAACTTCCCAGTGTGCCTGACACAGACTTCACATGGTAGAACGTAGATGTGGGCACAGTAAACAGGAGAGTGGCATACTTGGTTTCTGATTTTTGCAGTTTTGGCTTCTTTGGGTTTCAGACTGAAATCTCAATACATATTAGATTGAGTTTGGCCCAATCATATCTTCAATTTAGGGAAGGTGGGAAACCATCCCAGCTAGGCCAAATGGCTGCCTCTTTAAGGATGTACATAACCATACAGACATGAGACATTTATTTTCTTCATACACTCATTTGGTGAAAATTAATTTTACCAAGTGAAGCATGTAGTAAGTGGCACCCCCAGCACTATGCCAGCCACCATACCCACCTTCCTCCTCCACCTTATAGAACAGGCAGACAGAAGTTCACATTCACTTTATCTTCTCTGCCCTTGGTGGATGGCTACCTCAGCTTATCAATGGATTAGGGAATTACAAAGTCACTTGCTAATTTTCCAAGAACAAAATTTCAAAGATGATGTGACCCGGTTCCTTACTTACTCAGGAATGTGACAAGACTGGGTTGATTTTGGCATTAAGGTATGTGTAAACCTTCATCTACCAGAAATGAAATGACAAGTGCATGTAATTGCCTGTTGTTTTGGAAGTGCATCCTGCATGAGATGCCAGAAAAATATAAAAGAGTTTTACTATTTTCTGCTCTCCTGTATATAAATATCATCCAACTGAGTGCCAAACTTTCAGAAAGAAAAAAAAAAGTTCCATTTACCATTCACTCCCTGATTGCACTTAATTTTATTCTTTATATTGATACACTGTGCACAGGCAAGTAATTTGAATGACAATATAGGGTCCGTCTTTCTAAGCTTTGGAAAGTGTGTGTTTTCAGCCATCCACATAACCAAGAACATGCAATTGAAATGCTACCTGTTTTCTTCCCCTAGAATAGTGAAGGGGAAAACGAAACTGTTCTCATCAGAAGTTTCATTCAAAAGCATGAAAAACTGCAAGTGACAGCTGTGCAGATTCAGTGGATGTGACGTTTTTGAATTTCTTCAACTTGACAAGTAAACACCTTAAATCGGTAATGCTATATGCATAATACATGGCCTGTATTTTGACATCCATCATCAAATGCTGACTTGAGAAAATACGGGTTTGTACATCAAGGAATAGCACCCATAAAACAGGGAGAAATGCAGGTCACACGGTATTAGGAAAACTGTATTTCATTACAGAACCTGCAACAAACCAAAGCATCCTTTTATTTCATCTTATTTAAAGATTCCATTTTCAGCTGTGAAAAGACTCAATTCCTTTGCATGAAACCTTCATTTAGAAATGACATGCTTGCCTCTTAGGCTTCTTTCATTTTGCTTTCATATTCCATTTTCCCCTTCAGTCACCAAGCCTGGATCCATTAGCATCTGCAACTGACAAACTATGGTGGATGTCCAAAGACATCTCTCCATTAAAGGTCTTTTTCTCTCCTACACGTGACCCCAAGAACGAGGTGCTTTTGTTGGAAAGAAAACTTCAACAATGATAATGTCACTTATTATTTGATACTTTCATAGCCACACGTTTTTACAAGCAAAAGGCAAAGACAAAAGAAATAGATTTAATTCAATTTTTTAACCCTTCCTGGAGAGTTGTGTTAAAGAGGAACAGAATGTATCAGCATTGTTTCTTTCTTAGAGATTCTAATACAGGAAAATTGTGGCTTGATGGCAGGATTGACCCAGATTCCTGAAGTGACCTTGAAGAGAATAGAAAATCAGGCACTTTCCTTCCAAAGGGATGAGTGAATTTGGCCTTTGGTATCATTTGTTGGCAGCTACCCTACTCATCATAGCAGCTGTTGATAAAGGTGCAAGTCTAAATTGTATCCAGTTCTCTGATTGTCTTGCTCCTCATTCCATTGCTTGCTTGCTGCAGCGGACAACGTCTTTGGTTGAACTTTAAGGCCCTCTGCATCAAGCAGTGCTCTGGTCCTACGTGTGTAAGTCCTTGCACAGGGACCCTGATCTACAACTAAAGGATAGTGAAACTGGGAAATGTTCCTACCATTCGTTGAACTAACACTCAGGAAGTTAATTTTAGAAACACACTCATTTTGCCAGAAGAGATGATGAGGAATGTTGGCACTGGATAGATAGAATGAAAAGTTCTCAATCAGGAAAAGATTCAAGTTAAGTAACCACAGCCATAGCCCAAGTTCTTACCAAGACGGCCTCCTGGTTCTTTAGATGTGTTCCCACTTCTCTCTCTTAAGTGTGGACATAAGAGGCAGGTTCTGGGCCAAAGATAACTTTAAAGACTACCTGATCTCCTTACATTCAAAGATCTGCCCCGTTTCAAGCTTCAGGGGCAGATATGACGGGCGTACATTACTTGTTCTATTTCTTTGACATCAAGTAGAAATGGGCCCAACTTTGCCCTCTGCCAAGCATGCTTACTCCATATGCTATAGCAGAACTTTAAGTTAAAGCCTGAATTTTCTATATATTTAAGCATCCCAGATTATCTACAAATTGCCTAGCCCACAGAGAAGGAATGGAGTGCAATAGTTAAGAGCATGTGCATTGGAGTCAGATGTCTTAGGTTTAAATTCTGTCTCACCTACTGATAAGAAATATAACCACAAATATAGCACAGACTCTCCAAACCTCTGTATCTTTGTCTAAATTGGAATTACAGGGCAGTTGTGAGAATAAGATGAAATAGTATGTTCAAAGCATCTAGTACAATGTCTGGTATGAAGCAAAAACTTGAAAATGTTGACTACCAATGTTAATATTTTACCAAGTACTCAGTAAATATCTGTGGCAAGGAACAGCTTTCATTGCTTCCCCCTTCCCTATGGATAAAGAATTG